AAAAAAGGAGTACCGCAAAATCATACGATTTTGCCTGTACTTGTAAATAAGGAAGACAGAAAAGAATAAAATAAACATATCCCGCAAGATCACGTGATTTATAAGCAGTACCACAAAATCGCATGATTTTGTCTAACGGCATGCCGTTATTCCGCTCCTTGCGGTTGATACAGACCGACATACACCCTGCCCAAGGTTTGTTCGCGGCCGTTACAGTGTTTAACAGAGAAGAAGGCAACGTTAATATGCATAAAATGCTTATAAAAAATAAAGCAATCAGTAAGTAGTCATGGCTGGGTTGCCAAACATTTAAATTAGAAGAACACGATCCAAATCATATATCGTAATTCAAGTTATCCTAAGAATCAATTCGAGTTTCTACAAATCAATTATTAAATTTAGAAGCTACCAAGAAGAATTGCATAAAATGGATCTCTTCGTTAACTTCAAAATTTGTCGCAAACAGAGCGATAGTGATATGGAAATTGGAAAGAGCGACAAACAAAAAGGAGAGACGGACCAGCTAAAAATGATTTCACGATAACACAACAAAAGTTATATATTATTTTCATGTTAAGACATAGTTTTCATTGAAAGATGCCCAAAACTTCATCTGACGTGATCCAAATTTAGCCAACTTAATTTACTTGCTAAATATTATGTTATTTTTTCCTTGTTTCCGCCATAAAAAACTTCAAATTAGACTCTGCCGCTGTAGAAGGACTTGTCCACGAGAAACAACATATGTGGTGGAATATAAAAAAAATGTGATCCAAATTCCCTACGGTTAATATTTTTTTGTTAAATTACCAACAAAATTGACCAATGTTCATCATAAAATATTAAACATTAGACGTTTTTGAGATACAAGGATTTAAATTTCATAACAATCCTTTTATTCTATTATGTTCAAAAAATAGACCTTCTTGATCCAAATTTGATTCACTTAAGGCTTGTATCAAACTGCTTTGCTGAACCAATTTTTATCATAAAATACCAAAAATTAGACATTTGTGCAATATAAAGCTTATTTCTAATTAAAACCTTTATAGACCTAGCGATTCAAATTTTGTAAAAGCAGTTCCTATATCAAATTACTATTCTGGCCCAATTTTCTGGATGAAATAATTAAAAGTTGCACCTTTTCCCAAATGAAGAATCAGTCTTCGAAAGAACGGTTATAGAAGAGGGTGGTCAAAAACTGTCCCGTTTGATCCAAATTGTGCACGCCAATGTATAATGTCGAAACACTATCACTCAGCGATTTTTGTCGTGTAATTCTAAAATTAAAATAATTTTTTATACATAACGACTCTTCAAAAGAAGGAGCTATACAGCAAGTGGTTGAAAAGGTGATCTGATACGGATTTATTCCAAAAAATTTGGCCATTGGGTCAAAATATGTCAGTGTAAAAAACTTCATCAAAATACGCCTAAACTGCGACGTGCAGGTTGAACATAAGAATAACTCTGCAGTCACCAGATGGACAGCCGAGCTAAGATCGATTCAGAAAATGATTCTTTAACAAAATTTGGACCTGTCTTAAATTCTTTTACGTATTCCATACTCCAGCTTAATATACCGAAAGTGGTGTAGGATATAAAAACAACAAAACAAAAACAGTACCGGTAAAGTTGACTACTATTTGAAATTATAAATCATCAGTTGAAATGCTGGCATATAAATGTAAACAAAACCCAAGCACACTTTTTCTTGCCCATCCACTAAGGAGAGTCCACTAAAGTATAGGAAAGGAGAGGAAAGTATAGAAAAGGAGAGGAAGAAGGAAGGAAGACGTGAATAGCAATTATACATGTTCGACTTGAAAGTGGAACCGTCTTGGGCGCTGGAAAATACTACTGTAATTAGGTTGCTCCAAAGGCAGGCCGGTTAAAGGACGAGGTGTCGTGACAGTGTGTTGTTTGATACGCGGGCAACTGCACGACGTATGGGTGAAAACGCCAAGTAGACCCGTAAAATTATTTTTTATACCCTGCATTACCATACATACATCGCGTATTAAATTTGTGCGACTGCATTAAGAACGATTCAGAACGATTCAATGGAACGATATAAACTCGTCTGGTTCTCTGTCCATCTATCTATTTGATGTGTTTTTATGCATTTTCGTGTTCAATCTACACGACGCAATTTTTGAGATACTTTTATGTTATGATACCGGACTCAACCCTGTCGCACCAATTTTTCGAGCTTTCCCCACATGACGCTTTATTTCAAAATGTCATTATATGAAGAAGGAATGCCAATTCTAAGCTGATGTGAAAAGGTCACATCGAATGGGGCACGAAGTTGGTCAGAAATCAACACAAAAATTGCGACAGCAAAGTTAATATAAAAACAAATGACATTTGAAATTGATTAATGAAAAAAAAAGAGTAAAAAAAATTTTTACCATGTCATCAAAAACCATTTATTATTGTTACAAGCATGATGTAGAAATTACTCTTGAATATAAGTTTTAATGAAACAATTCGACAAATATAGTTCAAATTGAAAATAAATCGCTTCAATTGCCCTTTTTCATCTTTGGGAAAATATATATGTCAAAATTCCATAAAATAATGTGAATTGATATGTAAGATTAGATAAACACTTTTAAATATGAAAGCCAGCTATTTAAGAAATGCACATATGAACAAAGTTTTATCTTATATTGGTACAGAATGATGGCAAGCAATGCAATAAAATTGTAATTACTAGTAGACTAAAGTTTGACCATCCATTTCTTTAAGTTCGCCGATGGATTTAACACGTGTGAAAGTTGCAAGTTTTTAAATAAAAAACCCGAAGATATAAATACTATGGCTGAAATTGGTATTTATCAAAAAATGTTTTTAAACCATTCAATTTTTCTGACTAGTTTGTGAAGTACAATTGAAACAAAACTAAATTACCAGCGCACGTGTTTTTTACTTAACATACAGAAACCAAAAGGGGAAGGAAAAAGAAACGGATTAAAGAAGAGCCGATCGATGACGATGATGTGGGAACTTTGCAAAAGTCTGCTGATTTTACTTTAAAACCGTCTGTGAAGGCAGCTAAATTAGATACATCAAAATGGCCGTTACTTTTAAAGAATTTTGACAAACTCAACGTACGCACGAACCATTATACCCCATTACCACATGGTTCTTCTCCACTTAATCGTGATATTAAAGAATACATTAAATCTGGGTTTATCAATTTGGATAAGCCTTCGAATCCCAGCTCACACGAAGTGGTAGCATGGATTAAACGAATTCTCAAAGTAGATAAAACTGGACATTCGGGTACTTTGGATCCTAAAGTAACAGGTGAGCTTGTTTGTAAGAGTTGCAAATATTATTATAGACCCCATTGAGTAAGCCGACGGGAAGAGTATTCATTTAACTCCTCAAGTGGTGTGAGATGGGAACAGTAGACTTATTCTGATGTGTGTATGTTGTTAAACGATTTCCTAGTTTACCAGCAAAGAATTTTTCAGTGTACAGACACTATTACATGTTTTAGATCAATAATGAACATAAATTTTGGCATTATCTAGGTTGTTTAATAGTTTGCATTGATCGCACCACGCGACTAGTTAAATCACAACAAAGTGCTGGTAAAGAATACGTAGCCATTTTCAAATTACATTCTTCTGTTGAGTCAGTTTCGAAAGTACGTCAGGGCTTAGAGAAACTGCGCGGCGCCCTATTTCAGCGCCCCCCATTAATATCGGCAGTTAAACGGCAATTGCGGGTGCGAACTGTATACGATAGTAAGCTGCTCGATTATGACGAGTCACGCAATATGGGTAAGTGCAAATATATGTATTCATACAACTTCACAAATTTTTCTACATACGCATACGTACAAAGCAGGTTTGCTTTTATTGTGATAATGCATTTTTTATGAAAGGATTAACACGTATTCCCACTTAATGGAATGCGTATTATCTTTTAAAATCATTCCGATTAAATTGTGGATATATTTTCTTTTTTTATGTTGAGATTGAATCTACTAAGCCAATGGAAAGTGTGGGTTATATATCCGGATTATGACGATTATTTGCAATATCTATATGCTTATTTACTTATTTATTTTTTTGTTTCTTTCATAATGTGTTAACTCTATTAGAAACGGATGCGCAAATATGCAAACAGTATTGTAAGGTGAAAGTTACGAACCCTGACTGAACTAAGATTATTTTATAGTTGAGCTTAAATAAGAGTCAGGATAAGAAAAGTAAAAGGTTAACGTAAATTAATAAGGCAAATGCTTTGTTATTAACATTTACCTAAGGTCAGCAGCATTTTTTGTTTTAAAGCGATCAGAGAGGCACGTTAACTGAAAGGATTTTCTCATATTGTCCAATTTACGACAACTGGAAACGATATATCCAGCAGATTTTCAAGTGTTAGGAATATAATTTGGTAAGGCGCCAATCATTTTTAAATGTACTTTTATATGGTGGCCGCTCATGACTCTTATCGAGAAAAGCTTCAAGTGCAAACTAGTTCTGCAACGAGCGATTTCCCTGCTTTAATTGTTTAGCTATTGAAAATGAATTTTCGAATTAATTGAATGGTTGTTGATATTGAGTAAATTTGATATTTGTTTGAATATGTTACTTGATAGCAATTTGATAATTTACAGATATTTCATTCGATAGTAAGATGTACAGTTGTCCATTTTGCTTGTCACATCGGGTTCTGCTGAAAAAGTACGAAAAATATGCTTTTAGCCAAATAATATTTCTATTTTCTCTTAAATATTTGTAATTTAAAATGCAAATGCAACAATAAATAACCATTTTTATATTATAAATATAAATTTTTCTTGCCTTTGGTCACTGTAATGGCGTCATTCCGAACAATGGCCGTAATATTTATGTGTCTCTGCTATAATGACCATTTGAAGGCGTTTTTTGGGTTAGTTGCGAAGCCGGTTCTTACATCCGCACAATGTGTGTACATTTGGGCCTGATACTTGGGGTAGGTGGCCAGATGTTGGAACTGCGCAGAGTCCGGTCAGGTATTCAAACCGAACGTGATAATATTGTTACGATGCATGATGTTTTGGATGCTATGTACTTATATGAAAATCATAAGGATGAGTCAATGCTGAGACGCGTAATCAGACCCTTGGAAGGCCTTCTAATTAATCACAAAAGAATTATCATGAAAGATAGTTCGGTAAGTATATAAAAATAAATAAAATTTACGAAAGTCATATCATATTGCTAACGTATAGATCAATGCCGTTTGTTATGGTGCTAAAATAATGTTGCCTGGTGTGCTGCGTTACGAAGATGGTATTGAAATTGATCAGGAGATTGTCATTTGTACCACCAAGGGTGAGGCCATTTGTTTAGCCATAGCTCAAATGACAACTGCAACGATGGCTTCATGTGACCATGGCGTGGTGGCAAAGATAAAACGTGTTATTATGGAAAGAGATACGTACCCTCGTAAATGGGGTCTAGGTCCTAAAGCATCTGCTAAAAAAGCATTGATAGCTGCTGGAAAGTTGGACAAATACGGTAGAGCTAATGAAAATACCCCCAAAGAGTGGCTGACAAGTTTCGTAGATTATAATGCAAAGAAACAAGCTGCAGTTGTGGCTCCCCAAGCAGCTTGGGAAATTCATCAACAAGAAGAGACAAGAAAAGTAATATTTGCTTAAAACCCTTAGATAAAGTATATAATTTGAATATTTATTTAGCGCAAATTTAGCGTTTCTGGTCAGGAGAATGTAACAACAGCCGCCACAATTGCTGATGAAAACTGTGAAAGAAAAAAGAAGAAACATAAAGTCGACGAGGAGAAGGCCACAGAGCCTACTACATCTGAAGCAGCTGACGAAAATACAAAGAAAGAGAAGAAGAAAAAGAGGAAAAAAGATAAAGACCGAGAACTAAATGAAGTAGAATAGAATTTACGTATAAGAACTTTCATTTTATATACATGCAATGCATTCTCTTAAAAGTTCAATTGATTTATTTTAAATAGCGTTAATACATACAGTTTTTTTCAACAAGGCGAAAATTTTCTCTTAAATATTTCAAAACCCATTCAAGCTACCCAGGCGTTCTGCATGGCTAGCTAAACACACAAAGAGTCTCGACTAATAACTGAATGGTCTTGGGTTCAAATCTCAAGCGCGTTGGAGTTTTTGAATAAAGCCAATAGCGTTCGATGTTTGCTAGTGTTTTATAACTTTAGTTCAGGAATTTATTTCTCTGGCTAAATGATTTACAGTAATAATGCATTACATGTGAAATAGCTTGAAGAAGTGTGCTGCCTTAAAAAGCGAAATTTCTCAATACGAAATTTTCGGGTTCCAAGTGGGCGATGGAGAAAAATTAATAGGTGACCATCTAAACTTTTGGAAATTTTCTTGTATTTCTTCTATAAAAAGTAAGTAAATGATGACAAATAATCTTACTCTTAATTGGATTGATTACGATTCCTCTTCTTGAATAACCCCTTACTTTTTTGTAAGTCTTATATAAATTTAAATTTAATATTATATATATCTTGAGATTACAGACAAGGACTATCTCAAAATATTATTGGGTGTTTGCGTATGCGCATACGTCTGGTCTGTATGTGCGAGCGTCTATTTTAGGTGTGCATGTAAGCGCACAATGTTTTTTATGTTTTATGGTCTCGGGTTAAATTGTATTGTTGTTATATATACGTATCTGCTATAAGTTTTTCTACACAGGTTTGTTGTGGCAACCGGCAATTAAACAAAAATTCTTTAGCACCAGCAACTTAATGTTCAGAAGAGTCGCGAGTTGATGTTTTACAATTTCGCATTTTATTATTAGTAATATATCAAAAATTTTCGATAAAATGCGTTTGGATGGTGATCTTTCGTACCCAGTTGAAATACACGTTGAATGCGACTAGTCTTACTAATCAACCTCTTTTGGACATACAATTTTGGAGCAGATAAAAAAAATTGAGATATAACTATCCAAAAATTCTATATCCGGTGTATTATTTGAAGATAAATTTCTGAACCTACGAAAAATTTTCGTTCGCTTCGGAATAAAATGTAAATGATACAGCCCCTGCTAACTGAAACTGGGATTTGAATGCAATTGGTCTTACTGAACAGCTAATGTGCTACTTAAAATTTATTAAAAAACTTTATACAAATCGGAATTTAATAGTGTATATGTTCTCTTCCATTACAGACAAGACTATTCCGAAATAATGTGCGGGAACTAATATTTTAAAGGTAAGTTTCTCAGCCTTTTAAAGGCTTTTCTTGTATTTCTGCAAAAGTAAATAAATAAATGATGAGAAATAATCTTTCGCCCCTAACTGATATTTACGCTGAATGCGATTGCTTTTACTGAACCAATATTCTTTTTTTGCTAACCACTTTCAAAAACTCTTGCCCAAGACGAAATTTGTTAATATGTTTTTTATATTGCAGATAGAACTATCTCGAAATATTACCTCAG